TTTTGCCCTGGGTTTGAGACGATGAATGAATCGGTAAACGCGCGCATCGCCGGATGAAAATTGACGACTTCCGCTCGAGAAATTTTTTTCTTTTCTTTAATTCATGAGCCATATAATAAACAACTTAATAACCTCGACCGTTCGGTTGTTACGGGAAAATTTCAAACCTCGGCCTACCGTGTTGACCGAGCGTAGCGAGGTCAAGACGGCAAGGCCTCAGTTTGAGATTTCCCGTAACGACCTCTCTCTCGGTTATTAAGTAGTTTATAACGGACATTGTCTACTCCTCCTGACCACACGCTCGTGATATCTCTGTGTTACTGCCCTTATTCCTCCTCAGGCTAAATTTTTAATAAAAAGGTTTTAGAGGCGGTTCTTACTCTAAAAGCCGTGGATGGTTTATAAAGTTTTCAAATACAATCGGCCATCGCTCGACCAACGTACTTTTGACTTTGTTGCTACGCGAGTGTAACAAGTGAATGCGATGAACAAAACTACGCGCCTTATTAGACTCAATCGCTCTTGGTAAATGTTTAATAAAAAGATTTTAGAGGCGGTTCATTCTCTAAAGAGTAAAAAGCTGTGGATAGTTTCTAAAGTTTTCAAATACAATCGGCCATCGATCGATCAACGGGCTTTGTTTGACTTGGTTCAGTTCGTTGCTATGCGAGTGCAACAAGTGAACGTGATGAACAACACTACGCACGTAATCAAACAAACATATTTAGACATGGCTCTCGACGGATGTTAAAAAGCGCAAAGCTACAAAGTACAGTTGTGAATGGTGTGTTTTTGTTTTTTAATATATCGAGAGGAGTTCGTCGGAGTTGTCCGCTAAGTCCTCTTCTATTCAAGCTTGCTGCGGAACTGCTAGCAGTTAAAATACGCCAAGATTCAGATTGTAAAGGCATTTCCTTCCCAGATGGGTTGCTGATGACACCACCATAATAGCGGGAGATGTTGAATCACAAAACCTCATTTACAGATCTTGCATTGCTTTGAAAATATTTCAGGATTAAAATTAAAAAGGAAAAGAGCAAAAGCTATGAGGATGGGTACCATGAAAGATAGTAAGTTAAAGGTGCGTGACTTTACGACAACAAAAAGGCCAATAAAGTTCTTGGAGTAAAGCTATCCTACAATACAAGTAAATGTATTGAAGAGAACTTTTATGCAAAGATCAAGAAAATGAAAACAAAATTGAACTTATGGCTCTCAAGAGATCTCACGATATACGGCAAGTCTTTACTGGCGAAAGCTTCGAGTATATCAGAGCTAGTTTATGCAGCATCCATGCTAACTGTCCCAGAATCGGTTATCAAGACTGTTCAAGAGGACCTTTTAGCCTTTCTATGGAAAAACAGGGAAGACAAAATAAAAAAAGCAGTTATGTATCAAACAGTAAAAAAGGGGACTCAATTTTGTTAATTTTTGCACGATTATTAAATCGTTACGCTTGGCTTGGATTGGTAGACTTAACCGAGCACGTCTGACGACAAATGGAAGGCAATCCCCAATTATTACTTTCGAAAACATGGCAGCCTATTATTTCTCCTCAAATGTAATTACTCTTGAAAATAGGTCTGCCTCTCTTTTATCGAGAACTTCTTCAGTATTTTCAAGACCTCAAGAACACAACTTACATCTTTCGGAATGGTGAATTCATTCTTTGGAATAACAAATCGATAACCATAGACAATGCTGCCTTGCTTTGGAAGTCATGGTTTGAAAGAGGAGTTGTTTCAATAACTGTACTAAACTCAGAGGGCAATTTTTTATCGTATGAAGAGTTCGGCAACAAATTTAACATTACCACAAATTATATGCACTACTTTCAATTAATTTCAGCTCTTCCATCCGATTTAAAAAGGAGAGCAGCACAAACGTTTACGCTGTAAAAATTATTACCAGTTGTTAATATCAAATTAGTTTTTACTTCTTTCAAAATCAAGAATATGTTCAGTTTTAAAGATCGTACTCCTGA